ACAGTCTCGGTCCATCTGATAGATTTGAGGTCATCAGGTTCACTACATCATCATCAACGGTGCATAACATCATCAAAAGATTCAGAGAATGTGGAACAATCGCTGTGCGTAAGGGTCAAGACAGTAAAACTACTGGATGCTCGTGATCTCAGGGCCCTTAAACGTCACTGCACCTCAAACAGGAACGCCACTGTCAAGGAAATAACAGAATGGGCTCAGGAATACTTCCAGAAAGCATTGTCAGTGAACACAATCCACCGTGACATCTGCCGTTGCCAGCTGAAACTCTACAGTGCAAAGAGGAAGCCATTTCTAAGCAAGCTCCACAAGCTCAGACGTTTGTGCACTGGGCCAGGGTCATTTAAAATGGAGTGTGGCAAAATGGAAGACTTTTCTGTGGTCAGATGAGTCACGATTTGAAGTTCTTTATGGAACACTGGGACATCATGTCATCCGGACCAGAGAGGACAAGGATAGCCCAAGTTGTTATCAACGCTCCGTTCAGAAGCCTGCATCACTGATGGTATGGGGTTGCATGAGCGCTTGTGGCATGGGCAGCTTGCAAGTCTGGAAAGGCACCATTAATGCAGAGAACTATGTTCAAGTTCTAGAACAACATATGCTCCCATCTAGACGTCATCTCTTTCAGGGAAGACCCTGCATTTTTCAACACGATAATGCCAGACCACATTCTGCAGCAATCACAACATCATGGCTACGTAGGAGAAGGATCCGGGTACTGAAATGACCAGCCTGCAGTCCAGATATTTCACCTATAGAGAACATTTGGTGCATCATAAAGAGGAAGGTGCGACAAAGAAGGCCCAAGACGATTGAACAGTTAGAGGCCTGTATTAGACATGAATGGGAGAGCATTCCTATTTCTAAACTTGAGAAACTGGTCTCCTCTGTCCCCAGACGTCTGTTGAGTGTTGTAAGAAGAAGGGGGGATGCCACACAGTGGTAAAAATGGACTTGTCCCAACTTTTTTGGGATTTGTTGACGCCATGAAATTTGTAAACAACGTATTTTTCCCTTAAAATGATACATTCTCTCAGTTTAAACTTTTGATCTGTGATCTGTGTTCTATTCTGAATAAAATACTAGATGTTGGCACCTCCACATCATTGCATTCAGTTTTATTTACAATTTGTTTAGTGTCCCAACTTTTTTGGAATCCGGTTTGTACAAATGTCAATGTCAGGACCTTCATTTCATTTTATAGATATACTTTTTAAATATTTTTATACTGCTATACTACAATTTAGGACAGTATCATAATTTTATTATTTCATTTTATGCTTATGTTTATTAAATGTTTTAATGTTAAATGGTTATTGTTGCACCAGGGGTGTGAGAGAAATGTAATTTCAATCCTGTGCATGTCCTGTACATCCTGCAGTTTTGACAATAAAGTTGACTTTGACTTCGATTATGTACTGAGGGTACAGTTACACCCAAAAACAGCAAAAAAGAATATAAAGTATAAAAATAATGATTAAATGAATATTAAATTAAATGAGTATAGTTAGAAGAGAGTATAAACTATGTGGTTGTAAACTGTAACACACTAAAAACAAACAATCCTGCCAGTTACTGTACAGCACGTTAACTAGAACATGAAACTCAGTTAGATAAATCCATGATAAAAATATCCATCCTGGCTCAATCAGTCAGAAATGCGGTCAGTGCAGGAGTGTCCAGGGATTAAACATCACAAAGCTACAAGAAGAGACAAGAGACTTGGAAAAGAGGAGGCCAAGAACTAAAAAAAGAAAAATGGGTCACTACAAAAACATTTCTTTGACAAACAAAAATGAGCAATTAAGATTTTAAAACAAAAAAGAAAAAAAAAAAAAAAAGCTGAGGCTTTTAGCAAGTAGTAAGCACTACCCTACCCCCTACTGTACATAAATACTAATAATTAGTGATCCCTCACCCATCGTGGGGGTTATGTTCCAGAGACCCCCGTGGTAGGTGAAAATCTGTGAAGTAGTAGTGTTATTGTAGTGTTAAGTTGTTTAAACATTCACGCAATACCATCCATCCATCCATTCATATACTGCATCTTTAAATACTGACATTCCTACTACAATTTGACTTGTAATTTTTTCAAAATTTTTAAACCTTTATTTAACCAGATAAAAAAAAACATTGAGATCAAGAACTCTTTCATAAGGGCGACCTGGCCAAGAAATGGCAGCAGCGCACATCATAAAAACAAACAAGTAATAAGAAACAGAATAGGACTTCAGAAATATATAAAAACATACAATATAACAGTAAAGGGCAATACAGTAATTGTAATAATAATAATTTACAACAATTGCCATTCAAGATCTAAAACACAGGCACTGTTGACAAGACATCCATTGTCGTTTTTTTAAAAGTTTGCAAAAAGCACTCAAAGAAGTTCTGGACAGTTTTAATTCAGCTTGCAAGGCATTCCAAGCTGAGGGGGCAGAAAAGCTAAAAGCTTTATTGCCTTTTTCTATTCGCACACGAGGAACATAAAAGGTGCAAACAGTCCTTGGAGGGTAAGACATAACTACTGTCCATTCTGTGAATAAAATTTTTGTAGCACTACAGTGGGTATCTAGCCATTAGAAAGATAGGAAACAGTTTGTACAAAAAAATGATGTAAGATCCGACCTCTGTAATATCACATGTGGAGTTCCTCAGGGATCTGTGCTTGACCAAAAGTTATTTATTTTATATGGGAATGACTTGTTAAATGTGTCAAGACTCCTTAAATGTGTTCCATTTGCAGATTATACCACTTTTTTTTGTTTGTTTGTTTGGGTAAAGATATAGAACAGGTGTTTGAGTTGATGCAGACAGAATTTGTAAAAATACAAACTTGGTTTAAACTTAATAAATTATCATTAAACTTAGATAAAACTAGCTATAGAAAGAGAAGTGTCGATGTTCCATTTAGAGTCGAGTGTGTTGAGATTTGTAGTGAGGTAAAGTTTTTGGGTGTTATCATTGATGAAAAGCTGACATGGAAACATCACATAAATTATGTGAGAATAAAAATAGCTAAATCTATTGCAGTACTGTATAAAGAAAGGGTATTATTAAATGATAAAGCTCTGTATATGTTGTGTAATGCAATAATTGTTCCATACTTAATTTGTTGTATTGATGTTTGGGAGGAAAGCATGCAAAACATTTACAAATCCTATTTTTGTTTTACAGAAAAGAGCTGTAAGAATTCAGTTCAGCTTAGTGAATTCCAGCGTGGAACTGATAGAATGCCATCTATGCAACAAATCCAGTCATGAAATGTCCTCGCTCCTAAATATTCCACAGTCGATTGTCAGCTGTATTATAAGAAAATGGAAATGTTTGGGAACGACAGCAACTCAGCTACGAAGTGGTAGGACACATAAACTGATGGAGCGGGGTCAGCGGCTGCTGAAGCGCATAGTGCGAAGAGGTCGCCAACTTTCTGCAGAGTCAATCACTACAGACCTCCAAACTTCATGTGGCCTTCAGATTAGATAAAGAACAGTGCACAGAGAGCTTCATGGAATGGATTTCCATGGTCGAGCAGCTGCATCAGAGCCATACATCACCAAGTGCAATGCAAAGCGTCGGATGCAGTGGTGTAAAGCACGCCGCCACTGGACTCTAGAGCAGTGGAGGCACGTTCTCTGGAGTGATGAATCACA